GCTTCATTCATATTTCACACTCGCACCTAGCCATCGACTCTAAATTCGTTCTGGAGGTGGTGAAATGGGAATCTACGGATGGGCGAAATTGCAGGTGCCCACATCTTTAGCATTAATGACACTTCATTATTCACAGCTCCTTCTTATGAATCGGCACCCACGGTGGGAGGCACAAAACGGTCATAAATTGGAATTGAAAGGAACGAAGGAGGTCCTGTGAAAGAAATCCTCTAGCCCTACCGGTTGACTTGTTTCGAGAGTATGCGAAACGCGGTTCCAATCAGCTTCTTAACTAGGACAAAACGTCAGTTTCTGTTATAAACTGGACATAAGTGCGTCGGGGAAGCCACCACGATTCCGACGGATAGTCGGAACTGAATATAATGCGCTACCAATCCAATTTATTGTTGCTTATTTAAAACCCAAATTCTTGCTCATGCGACTGCTCTGGACTGAAAGACTGGGCAAAAATTTGTGGAAGAAATTAATGATTGCTTTTGCTTCCATTGGTAGAACTTGTCTAATCATCTCTTGTCTACTGTTGCAGCCATACGAAAACCGACATTTGAGGCAACCTACCACGAAGATATCGAGATACTGGACATATTGATACACGAACCGAAGGTCGAGAGAGGGCAGTTTGATGGTTTTGAGATCCTAATGAAAACTGACGATTTTGATTTACCAACCGGGTGGCGTACTGTAGACCGCCTGCCAGCTAATGAGCGAAAATATGAATTGGACGGAGTGGAACCGTTAAGGAAATATGCAGTCACAGTGCGTGGACATGTGCTGCCCCATAACGTCAGTGAGATGGCTGACTATCTGGTATTTGAAACAATGGATGCAGGTCAGTCTTCTTTTCACTCACCACCACTCTACTCATAAGCACTTGGTAGCTCCTTTACACTCATTTACTTCTACACTGGCTACTCCACACTCATCTCCTTTTTCGTGGTGGTACACAAGGACTCATCACCCTCTCAGCACTACTGACCAATATGCTCACTCTCTTTTGTGCAGATCTCAGCGTTCCCGAAAATGTAAAACTCAAAGCAGTCGACCCTTACACGGTGCAGATGACATGGGATAGGCCAGAAACATCCAACGGCCCCATCACTAACTACACCATCGAATGGAGTCTAGATCATGATTGGCAAGAAAATGTCAATCTCTCCTCAGTTAATTTTTACGAATTCACCGATTTGAAGCCGGGACAGACCGTTGTCGTCTCCATTTGTGCGCGCAGTCGGCCCAGTGCTTCGATGAAATTTGACTATGTCGGTACCCGCAGTGCGTTCGAGCGCGTAACCATACCGCTACAAATGAAAGGTTAGTGCTTTCTACTTGCTTCCTCAAACATATGATATGTCTTGAAACCGATTAGTGTAAAAAGGGAACTTGATATCTATAGAAGGGGTGAAATATTACAGTCTGTCATTTCCCCTGTGAGCCATGAACACAAGTGTTATCGTCCTCTTTCGGAATGAAAATTGAATGTGAATGCAAATGTGATTCACTTCATGTTCGAGTGGTTGCCCTTTCCTGAGCGCCTCTTGCCCACTGTTATAGGTATGCGAAAACCGACATTTGAAGCAATTTACCACGAAGATCTGCGCCAGTTGGACATGCAGGTACACGAGCCTAAGGACGTCAAAGGACAGTTCAAGGGTTTTGAGATCTTAATGAAGATCGGCCTACCCAACTCACAGAATGTCTGGAAGTCCATGGCCAACCTCACGGACAACCAGTGGGAACATCATATAGGGGGGTTTCTTCCTCAACTTAATTATACAGTCACAGTGCAGGGACGCATATCCCCCGACATTTTCAGCGTGAAGGCTGACCCATTGGTATTTGAAGTGATACATGCAGGTATGTCCCCTTCCAATTACTGCTCGTACATTTACATGCAATCAGTTGATGTTTTTACCTTCATTCTGCTTTATGCTTGATATTTTCACGTTCGAAGACTTCTCTCCCACTCATCAAAGGTGACGAATATGCTCCCACTCACCTTGTAGATTTTAGTGTTCCTCGCAATGTGACTCTCACACCAATCAGCCCATTCTCGGTGCTCATGACATGGGATTCGCCTGCTAGATCCAACGGCCTCATTGCTGGCTACGTCATTGAGTGGTTTGTCGATAGGATGAGGAAGGCGAGCATCCATCCCTCCTCCAATCATTCCCATACCTTCACTGGTTAGAATGCGGGACAAGCCGTTTCTGCCTCTATTTCTGCTCACAATAAACCGGCAACTTCGGTAACTTTTGAGTACTTCGGTTCCTCCAGTGCTTTCAAGACAGCGACTACACCAATGGAGGGATGTTAGTACTTTTACCCTCTCTATCGAGGCAGTACTGCAATCTGCAAATGTTTAGGATACACTTAAGAGTGATTTAACTTTTACATTCGGATTGATAGACTATGTTAAAGCTGATGCAAGGAATGAGGATTGCTTCGATTTCGAGTGGTCACCTTAATCTGAACACTTGTTCTGCTTTTTCAGGCATGCAAAAACCAACATTTGAGGCAATTTACTATGAAGATCAGCGCCAGTTGAACATACGGGTACACAAGCCCAAGGACGTCAAGGGACAGCTCAAGGGTTTTGAGATCTTAATGAAGATCGGCCTACCCAGCTCACCGAATGCCTGGAAGTCCAAGGCCAACCTCAGGGACAACCAGTGGGAACATCATATAGGGGGATTTCTTCCT